GTGACACGTGGGACACCGCCTGAGCGTGGCCTGATGAGTGGTGCCATGTCTGCACCCAGGATCCGAACCAGCGAAACCCTGGGCCGCCGTAGTGGAGTGTGCAAACTTAACCACTCGGCCACAGGGCCAGCCCCAAGAAATATTCTTATTTTCTCTTACTAGTAATAAAAGTTTGTGACGAACACTGGAAAAACTATTTGGAGATAAAAAAAAATTCTACTTACCAATGAGTTGTACCCTTGGAAAGAAGGTTTGTAAGAAAGCCATCTACCCTGCTTTTATTAGTATCACTCATACAGTGGTGACTCTGTATCAGATAGAACACTCTTACCTTTCATTTCTCTGATTAATAATAATTAAGAAAAGCCAAACTCCAACTGAATTTGGATCTTTCCCAATGAGCTCATGTCATTTAGTTAGCAATGGGCTGTTTTTGCACAGATGAGCTCCTCTAGTGTTGTTACTCTATAAAAAGCACCAGTACTATGAGGAACTGGTGTCCACTTTTGTCCTTTCTATCAGTCCTGCTGACACTCACAAAAGATGTAAGGAACTGTGATGTCTGGGATGATTTGGTTCACTAGAGGGCAGGTTTTATATTAAATGTGCTAACATTCTGCTCAGTAAATTTCATGTCTAGGCATCTGCTTTTTGTGTTCACCACAAAGAAATGACAGAACAATCTTCCAGAACCACAGTAACACTCTTTGGTACTGAAGCTATTTACGGGATGTTGTAGAGGAACGCAAGAGAGGAAAAAAAGAGAAGATTGGAATTTTAATTCTTTCCCTCTATCTATACTTACTGAAAGGCTTTAACTCATGGTTGTCGTAGGGAGGATCACAGCCAATAGAGGGATGACATTGTCTGGATAAAAGTATTTTGCCTGTTTGCATGACCTGTTTCATATTCATTTAAAAGTCTGATACCAACCAGATGCCCCACAATGATGATAAATTTAATTTATTTCCAATTTCTCAAACTCTTCTACAGATTCAGGCAGCACAGTCACAGCCATTAGCTCACTGAGCCTGGATGAATCATTGAAGGAATGGAATTGATCAGGCAGATAGATTGCAGTGCATGGTTAAGAGTCTCCTAAGAAGGAAGATGGCAGAAATCCAACATCAACTAGATGATGAAATGGCCATTTCCATTAAGGGAACATCACATCACAGATATTAATTAGAAGGCACTATAATAGAGTTAAGTGGATGTGGGGAAAAAACGCTGAGTTAAAAGTCACCCCGGATGTCCTTAGCCTGAGGTAATTGCAGATGTGAAGGTGAATGATGGATCTACAATTTTCCATTCATTTCACAATGGCTGCAGGTAAGTTAGAGACCAGATATAAATTCAGAGTGATGATTTTTTTTTAGATTGGGGACAAACTAAAAAAAGAAAAAAACATTCTAATGTTCTCCTTTTACTCTTCCAAGGGAAATTACATTCTTTATTTACAGCAACATTAATGGTAAATGGCGAAAGACTCACCACTTTCCTAGTACAAAAGAAAGGAAGCAAATGAAACAAAATTAGCTTTGAGTTTAAATGCCCAGCATTCCACCAACTTTTTTATTTCAAGGATGTAAAATCATCTTAAAAATTGATGAGCTATTTTGTTCTGAGTCTTCGGTTCAAATCTAGCTTAACTGCTAAAAGTTAAAAGTCTTTTAAAGTATTATTTGATACAGCCAAATGCTGGAGACAGTCAATTCCAGACCTTCAGAACTCTCTAAAACAGTATGTGACCAATATTCAAAGTATTTATTTGCCCAACAAGATTTATGACAGTTTAACTTTTTATTCTGTAATTCTTTGTCTTCTCTTCTCCCTAATACCTCCCAACTGCGTCCTTCCTATCTGCATCATAATAAACAACAAATGCAGATGGATGACCAACATGTGAGTTAAGACAACACTGAGAATAAAAGGGTTTTACCTTTCCATTTAAGTACAATTTGTATAACAACTTTGGAATTCTGGACGAAATACTTCATGTTATTAACTCCCAGTAGCAGAGGCTCTCTCCTTTGCTGAGGTTCCCTTCTAATTTCCTACATAAACTCAGACAATTAAGTTTTTACTTTTTGCCTTACCTCACCAAAACAGCAAAATCATGGGGATATTATAAAAAAAAAAAAATAGGATATCCAAATGATGTGAAATAACTCATTGAAAGCCCCTTTACCAACAAGTACTTATAAAAGATAAGGACACATCAGCAAAAGTGATGGAGTAAAAATCTCTGAAAATTCTCTCTCCCATAAAAGCAATGAGAACACTACTCATGAAAACTGTGAGAATCAACTTTTTCTGAACTGTGGGAATTAACCACAAGCTTGCAGCAGTCCAAGGAGTGTTTATTAAAGGAAAAAATGGCTGAATTTTGGTAAAAACAGTGAATTTTGTGATGTTTTAACTTGCCCTATTCCTATTCTGCTCTCCCAAACACCACAGAAGGCTTAAAAACGAACAGCCTGTAGTAACAGTGAAAACCAGCAGTTTAGTAGCCCCTAGAAGGGGCAGAAGAGGGCTGAAGCTCCTTCAAAGCCCTATTCTCAGAGAATTATCATCATTTGACCCATCTGGTGGTTCCCTGAAGACCTCACTTGCAGGGCTGTCTTTATCTGACTTGAAATTTGTCCAGAGTGAAAAGCCTAATCACCACAGGTGTTTGTTGAGAACAATTATAGGCAACTGTTTAAAAGTGTGGCTGCTGGAGACAGTAGATAACAGTTAGGGCAACAATAGGCTAACCAAAAAGCTTCAAAGGAAAAGCTGAGAAATGAGATACCCATAAGGGGCTTTGAAAAGTTCTAAGTATCCCCAGGAATCTATAAGGCTACAGGCATGCCCATGTCAGTACATATGCTCAAGAAAGGCCTGAGATGGTCCTAAGCTCTCCACTCTGTCTGACCTTGAAGCTCTGAGCAAGCAGGAAGTGAAGTGTCAACTGCCTGGTGGAGTATTGAAGGTGAGCCCCGATATGCACATAGACTGAGAGACTTATTGTTATAGGCATTTAAGGAAATCTCTGACCAATCATTAGCTGACCGCTAATCTAAGCAAGCAGAGATTTTAGTGGCCACACATGAAAAAGAATATAGATTTTAAAGAATTAGTTTAGGAAAGTCACTAAACAAACAGCAATAAAAACTCTGGGGGAAGGGGAAAATCTGATTTTGAGAGTTGACATATTATTTAAAGTATCCAGTTTTAAACAAAAAGTTGAGACATGGAAAGGAACAAGAAAGTAGGGCCCATCCTCAGCAGAAAAAAAGTAGTCAATAGTAACTGTCCCTGAGGAGCCAGATGTTGGACTCACTAAACAGAGACTTTAATCAGTTATTTTAAATATGTTCAAAGAACTAAGACAAATTATATCTAAAGAACTATATGAAAGTATGAGAATAATGCCTCAAAAATACAGAATCTTAACAGAGAGATAGAAATTATTTTAAAAAAGAACCAAATAGAAATTCTGGAGTTGAAAAGTACAATAATTCAAATAAAAATTTCACTGGAGGGATTCAAAAACAGATTAGAGCAGACAGAGGAAAGAATTAGTGAACTTGAAGATAGGTCAGTTGAGATTATCCAGTCTGAGGAAGAAAAAGAATAAAGAAGAAGAAAAGAAAAACAGAGCTTCAGAGACCAATGGGACACCATCAACTGTACCAAAATATGCATAATGGGAGCCCCAGGACAAGAGAAAAAGGAACAGAAAGAATATTTGAAGAAGTAATGGCCAAAAATTTACCAAATTTATCTAAACATTCAAGAAGCTCAATGAATTCCAAATAGGATAAAATCAAAGAGATCCACATCTAAATACATCATAGTCAAACTGTTGACAGAAAAAGACAAAAAAGACAAAGAGAGAATCTTGAAAGCAAATCATAAAAAACACAATTTAGATACTCTCCTGAAGGTTGCCTACAAATGTTTATGAGGCAGAGTGTGGCACCAAGATGAGACCTCAGAGTATTACCTCCATCACATACCTCTTGGAGGTAAATTAGTTGAGTATATATTTCATATAACTCATAGGGAATGGTTTTTCTTCCATTATAATCTCTGGGAGTAACAATCAACCAAAGTCTCCAACCAAGTTGAATGTTTAATCTCCTACACTAATCTCAAAGCTGCAAGAGATTCAAAGAGGAAATAAGAAATCCTCTTTTGCAGAAAGAAAAAAGTATCAGCAATTGGTGGCTGATTATGGTTTTTATGTACTGCTCTTTTAGGTACTCAAATAAAAGGCTTAACTTATCTATGGTGTCTGATTAAAAGTCTCTTAAGAGCTATGTGTTAATCATGAACTTTCTGTAGCCTATTTACCAGAAAATACTGTGATTTGGTACTATCTCAGTCTAAAGAAATTTAAATAAAGAAAAAAATTTAAATCTTGATAATAGACCTGTAAAATTTACTATATTTCCCTTTCTCCTCCTCCCACATTAACCTAAATCAAGGAGAAGCACTAAGATAATCACACTTTTTCTTTTAGGATTTTGAAATTAGAGTAAACATAAGGTAACTGATTTATTTCTCTTCTATAAAGCTCACTGTTGTACTGATTCTCTCCAAACACTGTAACTGTGCTTTTAATATTTATACAGTGTCTTCAGATTGAAGTACAACAAATCACTTTTGGAAATATAATGGAAGAATAGTAATAGAATACATGCTCAAAGACATATCATCATCTTCTTAAGGAGATTATATCATAAAATTTCAAACTAGAACATAACTGAACAGTTTTCACCCTTGTTCCTCAAAGATGCCAAGAAAGAAAAGGTGGGGATAAAACGTCTTACTCAAAATTAGAAAAAATAAATGATAATTTCGAAAAACCAAGTATAAATTAATACATAAAAATATTGGGACTAATGCCCATGGTAGAGAAAAGCTGTACCTGGGTGGCCTCTAGTCTTCCTGATAGATAGTCATAGATTGGGAAAACTACACCACTGTCTAGACTTCCCAAAACTAACCTGTGATGATAAGACATTCATTGTGATCCAGCACCTCAGTGAAGAGCCGTGAAACAATCAACTCAGGGTTAATTAAAAAGCGGATTTCTTCTTGCACCAGTCCTGCACTGGTTACACCACCTCCAACAAAACGGTTTGCAAAATCCACCTATTTGGGAAAATGTGGTATGTTAAATGAGGATCTAAAATACCTACATATATGATAAAGAAGTACACTTCCTCTAAGCTCTAATCTTCCTTTCCTTTCCCATATAAATCAATCCCCAAATCAGTAGTCTTCCCAGGTGGTTGATTGCACTCTTCCATCTCACTGCAGTTAATATCTCTGCTTATTTCTTTGGATTCCAAAACTTTGTAAAGAACCTGGAAAATGGAGCTTTTAGGCAAAAGCCCCAATATCATTATATTGACTCTTGTTTATAAACCTTTTTTGTGCTCAAAGGGCCACAGATCAAGAGAGGTTTTATCTGGAAAGGTTTCAAGGTCACTTCCCCACCATTCACTATTCAATTTCCATTTATCTATTTCATATGGCTTTAATATAATTACACCTTTCTTATCTAATATGGCAATCAAACACTTGTCCTTAAAGAACTGAATAGTAATAGACCTTTTTTTGGATAATCTTTTCCTTCTGTGGAAGAATAAAAGGATGGAAATATCGTCCTTTAAATTCAACTGGAAACCCCAAACTGCATGAACATTAAAATCTATTTTTTTAAAAACATACCTAAAGAGAAAAAATGAAGACATAAAACTTAGTTTAACAACAAAGATTCAACTAAATTAATATTTCCAATTTAGTTTAAAACTATACATAAGCTTTCTGTAGAATACTATGATGGGATCCCTAAGCTATTACTAATAAAGGTGAGTTACACAATCCTCAAGAGAAAGCAAACTCAACTCGCCAGCATTATTTGTTTCTCTTAAACTTACTAAGCACTCAAATGTGTCCAGCACTATGCTAGGCTCTATAGGGCAATATGTAAGAAATGGTTTCCAAGTTTGCCTTAGATTTACCCTATTTTATGAATTAGATTACACACATACACAACTTGTGTACATACATAGTCAAATACACAAAAAAACAGAACTTAGTAAGTAATGTAAAAGAGGCTTATATACACTATAGGAAAAACACACTCCCGTGTCTCTCCTTTACCCTTACACTACTACTGACACTCCCAATACTCCTGACACCAGATGTGTGGGTTTTCCACACAGCAAGCAATTCTGTGACACCAGCTGGCTGTCCTATAATTCAATTCAGTTCTGACACTATCCACGTGAAGTTAGCATCAGATCCCACAGGCTAAGGGTTCAGTCTCACAAGACTGCTCCACTTCAGGTGCCAATCATAAGTCCCAGGTTGTCACCTGTGCTTCTGCTTGACCAGCCATAAATTGGGGTTCCCATGACCCCCTCCTAGGGTTCAATAAATTTTCCAGAATAGCTCACAGCATTCAGTGTTTTACCGATTTATTAAAAAAGATACAATAAAGAATACAGATAAACATCTAGATGAAGAGATACATAGGGCAAGGTATGTATGTGGGAAGGGGCATGGAGCTGCCATGCCCTTTCCAGGCAAGTCATTCTCCCAGCACCTCCACATGTTCACCAAGCTGCAAGTTCTCTGAATCCCATACTTTTGGAATTTTTATGGAAGCTTCATCATATAGGCATGATTATCATTAACTCGGTCTTCAGTCCCTCTCCCTTTCTCAGAGGATGGAGGGGTGGGGTGGAAAGTTCCAAACTTCTAATCATGGCTTAGTCTTTTTGGTGACCAGCCCCATCTTGAAGCTATCCAGGAGTATCCCAAGAGTCACCCCATTAGAACAAAAGACAATCCTATCACCCAAGGCATTCCAAGGGATTTAGGAGCCTGTGTTGCTACTAGTGCTCTTATCAGTTAGTAAATTACAAAGGTTTTAGGAGTTCTGTGCCAACAACAAGGGGCAAGGAGCAATATATACCACATATATTTTTTTCTATCATTTCACATATACTTTGAGACTATTATCAAATACAAGACTTCTTAAAACTTGTTTGTGTTCTCTAGAGCAATTATGATATTAAATGATATTCTGAAGCCTATTTTACAAAAGAGCAAAACAAGGATATGAATCTTTTGATATGTAAAAATACATGTGAAAAGGCAGAAATTAATAGAGAGTAAAGTAGTCTTCTTTCACTATAGAAGAACTTAGAAAATACAACTGGACAAGTTCTTGAAATGAGTCAACACAGAATCAAACATATTCGAGTTTATATTCTGGCATACTAAATCAATGCTAAAAAAAAAAAGAATACCTCTAGCTTATATAGAAAAATAATTTTGGTTAAACCAGCCCATTGATTAGAATTAGTTACCTACTACATATGAGGCCTTTATGCCTTGGGTGACTTATGGCTTAAACTGTTCAATTCAACAAATATTGACTGAATGTTATTATGGGAACCATGGAATACAAAGATGAGTAAGACATGGTTCCTGGTTTCACAGCATTTAAACTCTAGATGGGAGTCAGGCACATAAGCAGAATGACAAAATGATTATTAAAGAACTTATAAGTATGTATTTGATATTTCCCAAATAATACAATTAACTAAAATTAGAACACGGGGAGGAGGATAGGGGAGCGTTACAAGAGGACGTGGCACTCAATCTAGATTTGCTGACATTCAGGTTGAGAGAATGGCTGCACAAAGACATAGGGAAAACCAAATGGAAAGAGCTGTATGAGTGATAAGGTAGTCTGGGGTCTAAGAAATTTTTACTTAATTCCAAAGGTTCTGGGAAACATTCTAAAAAGAAAAGCAACAACCAGACCTGTGTTTTAGGAAGATAATCCAGGATAGTGTTTAAAGAATGAGTTGGAAATGTGTAATATTAAAAGCAGAGAGGCTGGTTAGGTGATTGCTGAATAGTTTAGACAGGTACCACTAAAGTCTCAGGTCAGTGGGAAAGAAAGTGAAGGAAAGAGAGACCCAATAAAGAGAGAAAATGGACAGCATTCAAAAATTGAGAGATTGGCTAAGTATAATGGTATTACGAATACAAATGAGAAAGAAAGAAGGTTTGAGATCAGCTAAACTTAATTTTTACTGGAACAAGGTACATAACTAAAATGAAAAGATAAGCTTCATTCAACTTACGTACTACTTGGTAATGACAAATGAAATATATTCAATCTGTATGCTATTCTTCAGTCTTTGAACAAAAGGCCAACATATATTACTGGAAAGGTATGCATAGAAATAAATACATTAACTCAACATGTCTCTGAAAGCAGGAATCTTTTAGAAAATCAAAGTTTCTACTGCTTAAACAAGTTCTTAATAAAAGGCTATTACAGGTGAGAAATGTGTTCCAGTACATAAAAACGATCTTATGAGCCCTTCTTTATTTTTAGCCAGTCATTTTCCAAATTCACCTTACTTCAAAGCTACTTGTTCAGATTACTCAGTTTCTGAATTATAACTTGATGAAAAGAGAGAAATGATAACACTCCTTAGAGAGGTTTTGTTGTTGTGACCATTCAGCATAATGTAATTTATATGCTGCCCGAGGAGCTCTGCAACATCGGAATACAATACTCCCTGATCTCCTGGGGATGCACAGCACGGGAGGGAGAACAATTAATAGAAGCCTTTATGGTATTCTTTTAATCTACAGAGGTTTCACATTTCATCTGTAATATATTCTAGGGAAGGGGGGAATCTCAACCTTGAATGTTGTTAAGTACTTCCTTGTCGAATTGTATTGTAACGAAAGGTCAGCACTCCTGCGGTGCTAATTAGCAGTAGCTTTGTTTATTTCAAGTGTATTAAGACTCCCTCAGTTAATCCAAGACTTTAATGTAGGAAAAACGTCATCAAAGTGGAAATGTGGGGAAGAAGTGATATTCATTTGAAACAAATTTTAACCATATTTCAAAATTAGTTTTAAATAGAAGAAAAGGTACTGATTAAATATAAATTTTTTAAAAAATTTAAGTTAAGTACAGGAGAAATATTCATTCGGTTATCCTAAGTGTTTCTGCTTATAATCTCAAATAATCACTGGGAGAAAGTGATTTAAAACAAAACATGGTTTGCCTCTTTGAAGATTTTACTTACAAATACGTCTAAATAAAACGCCATTCTAAAAAGAATCTGTTTCATTAGGCACTTAGAGCATAAATATGTAATAACTAGCCAAATGCAAATCAGTCTAGCCATTTCACAATAAACGTTAAGTTATTCAAACAAATCAGTCTACTCCCAGGCAACTGGTTTATTTAGCTTCTGACCCAATATAAGCATCAAATAAGGATCTAAGAAGAAAAATCCAGCTATTTCCAGTATAAGATAAGATGATGTACAAGCTTCTTTCAAGGAAAACTGAGACTGCAATGCTCTTGTAAACAGGATAAGAACAGAAAATACTAACATTTTGTCTCTGATTAGTGACTTAAAAAAAAAGACCACTATAAAGTAAAAGGAAAACACATGTTCAGGCTAGGTGTCACAACAACTTAAAGCTAGATACACAGGGTTTTTTATTCGTTAACTCCTTTTTCCAGAAATATCTTTTTTAAGTAGAGGCAGTAACACAGATTAATAACAAAAATCGAGATATGGACAAAATTAACTGCTCTAAAACCGGGAAAAGACAGCAAGCATAGCTGGCTCACAGGCCTAAAACTATTACATATGGGAGAGAGGACTTTCTTATCAATCAGCTTTAGATGTCTGCCTCCTAGACCTAAACAAGGTTGGTGGCAGAAAAACATCTCAAGCTGGCCATCACTTAGGGCAGAACAAGAGCCTTTAAAGAAAAAGAACAAAACTGCCTGGTGACAGCTTGTCAAGACCATACCCTGGGAACTTCCTCCACTGTCAATCTACAGTCTGTGTCTGAACCAAGAGGCCTGATGTTGTCCAGATCTTGGGATTTTCTGTCAAAGGCTTTTTAAAGAGGCACATGTAAGAAACAGAGAACGTACACTGGCAAATAACAGTATTACCAAGGCTGTCAAGATGATCTGTTTGGTGCTTTTCTCCATTCTGCTATCATGCTTCTTTGCATTAAATCAGCTCAGGAGATAAATAAACAGCTTTTGAAATTTCCTTTGCTGTCAGAAGCTTGACAAGAGAAAGTCCCAGACACATGCACACTGCTGCGATGCACCTACCTGTAGCATGCCTTGACCGTTTCCTTCTATGGTACCTTCGTAAGTGACATGCAATCGAGTCAGGGGCTTTTCACATCTACAATTTAAAAAGATATTCCCTCATTTATTTTTTTAATGACAAGTATTTCACTACAGAAAAATCTGAAAATATAGATTAACTATAAAAGAAAAATTGAAACCACTTCAAATTTCAAAAGCCAGAAACAAATGCCTACTGTTAACATTCTTGGTAAAGATTCTCCTGCACTTTTTCTTCATATATATATACACATATACATACATATTTAAATTAAAATGGTATAACATACTGTTTTGAAACCTGTTTTTCCACTACAAAATACCAAAGTTTCTCCTCTTTAAGAGCTGAAAAACTTCTCAAAATATTTAAAAAGTTAAGATTTATGAAATTTATTATTATGCTAGAGTTGGCAACCTAAGGAAAAATATAGAAAAAACTTGGCAATAAATCATATGATTCTCAGATGGGCTCTATTTTCACTACTTTGATAACCATGTACGTGTTGGGGGGATGTTTTGATGAAAATACATGCTGTCGAAGTTCTGATCTATGGTATTTTATATTAATAAAATTGACAGATGAACCTAGTTCACTAAGTCACAATTATTTTCTTTCCTTTTCATAAACCATGCTCACTGAGATGTCTATGGGGTTCAGGAAACACTACCCCAAAATACAGCCCCTTGGCATATTGAATACTTTAAGCGAAAGAAATTTGAGAAAACGGCAGAAGCAGGTCGGTGACTCTGACCTCCTCCCCATCTCGCCCTTCTTCCCTGAAACAGGCCATAGAATCCTCATGTGAGAGGTGCTCTCCCAACATCTCCAAAGACAAACGGACGCCAAGAAGAATCCTAACAAACACGCCTGCTGCTTCTGCCAGTTTACTACAATTACCTCCTACTCCTTAACCCATCATATTCCTCCATGACTGTCCACTCTTCATCAAACCTAGATAAAAGGACATAGGTCTGTTTCTTTGGGTCTTCATTTCCTTATGAAGGCTTCCGTGTCACATAAACTTACATAAAATAAATTTGTACATGGAGGGGTGAATGTTAAAGAAAATTAGGTCCAGAAGGAAGAACTAGGAATGGGGGGGGGGGAGAATTATTTAGAAGACAGACTTTTAGTGAATAGAAGTATTAGATAATAACACAAGCGACCGACAATGGGATAGACCGATGTGAAACAGTGAATTTCCCATCACTGAAACTGTCTAGTCTCCATCGGTCACGGGTATTATAGAGTTGATTGATATTTTTAGTAGGCAGCTGGAACAGATGACTTCCTGGGGCCCCTTTCATCTCTAATATGTCAGGACTCTAAAATGCTATACATGTTCTCTTCCTTTTTGGCTCAATTTTGTTTTTGTTTTGTTTTTTCTGCAGGTTGTTTAATCTTTTATCCACTTCACTCTATTAATAATCATCTCAGCCATGCAGTCAGCCTCCTAAAGTAAGTTCGTTTTTCTTTCACTTCACAAATAAACATCTTTGATGGACGAAAACACCATGGGAAAGCCACCTGAGAGCTATGCCTTCTCAAGTCAACTCCCTTAGGAGGGAGTCCCTTTCACTACTAATTCCAAACAAAACAACTACAGACTATGATAAAAATTATTAGAAAGTGAATACAAGAGGCGCTGGTTAACATGAATACAAATATGGACTCAGTATGTTTGACCATGTCCTCAAGTGCAATGGAAAAGGTTGATCTATTCTTCTTTAAGTGCTTTTTCAGTACTCTAGATTAGCAAATGTGTTAACTATTTCAGCACACTAAGGAACGTACAGATCTGAACGAACTCACCCTGATTATTATCCCCCTCAGTATTTGCAGACAAATAATAAGAAAAAACCCCAGTATATTAACAACTTCCATAAGATCTGCTGACAGTACACACGGACAGCCAAACTTCAAAATTCTTGTCACTCAGATAAATGCTAGGTAATCACTTTAGATTTTAGTAAGTTAATTTACATTTTAGCTTAATAAAGAAACTTTTTCCAATCTTGTCCTCCAAAAAAAGACCTATTAAATATAAGCAAAAAAGGATGGTAAGGAGGAACATTAAATACCGGTGTTCTCTTTAGTATTAATTAGTGTCTTCACACACAAAACTCTCTAATTTTAAATAGGACTGTTTCAGAAGACAAAACTAAGGCAAGGAGTAGAAGTCAAAGGGTTGCAGACTTTGATTCCAAAGGCACGACCTTTCTAACAATGAGAGCTATCAATGGATCACTTATAAGAAGAAACTCCCCAGCACTAGGGCAATTAAGAGGTCAGGGAAACTATCTTTCCAGGGGCTGTAAAATAGAGTCCTCTCATGGTAAAAGAGTCCTTCTAATTTCAAGATCCAGGATTATTTTTATTATTATTACCTTTCCCACTCTGGAAAATCTTCAAGACTCTGTCTTGTAAATGTCACCAACCCAGTAGGTTCTACAAAAGCAATAAAAGAAAAACACACCCAAAATAAGTTTGGATTTTGAAAAGATTATACATACTCAATTAAAAAAGGTGTCTAACAACGGCTATAAAATTAATCAGGAAATACCAAGTCTAGTGTTGGAATACAACAGAAGACTGATTTAAAATAATATTTTCCTTATAGTAGGAAGTCTTTTTTATAAAATAATAAACCCTCATTGAAACACAAAACTATACAAATAACAGTACAACAGTGGGATCTGAGTGCTGGTACTTTTTGGTGAAGTTTTCTAAACTGAATATACTTTTTAAAAAATCCTTGAAAAACAGGATGCATAATGAGTTTAGCTTATACAATAAAAACAAAACTTAATTTTAATCTGTAGACTCCTTCTCAAAGAAAAGCCTTAACCCTACACGTAAAGACTGGTGAATGCCTACATATTTATGTGTCTTATAATAAAATAAAATGTCTAAGATTAAAAAAGAAAATTGTTGGCATGCCCTCTGAAGTTGACACAGCTAAGTCCAGGGCTTAGACAAGATGGAATTGCTCTACTTATAAGGCGCCTTAGCCGGAAGGAGGAATTACTGTGTTCAAGGAGGTTAGAGAATAAAGATGACATAGTTTTCAAGGAGCAATAGATGTGAGTGGATCAAAACGCAGTAAATTTTAGAGGCTAAGACCCTTTTGTTAAGTTTACTTTTTTTTTTTTTTTTTAACTCGTAGCAAAAGCAACAAATAAATCATCTGGCCAAAAGTAATTTGTCTGATTCAAATCAAAGAACAAACTCAAAAGGCCAGGCCATTTGTTTGCTTCTGTTTTTTTTTTTTTTTAAAAAAAAAGCTCTTAAGCAAAGAGAGAGATGTCAGGAACCATTAGTGATAATGGTGGTAGAGTCTCAGCCAAAGTTTGGCAACCATTTCATTCCTTTGCATGATTCCACATTTCTCTGCTCTCAGTCACAAGTAGTAACAACTCAAAAATCATAAGGAGTAGTTATAGTAGACAACAGGATTTTGTTAACATAAGTTATAAAATAGTCTTTAGATGTCTTACTTTCTTTAAGACAAATGGATAACATATTTAAAACTCACAAGTAATTTAGAAGTCAAACAATTCAAACACTAGAGAAGCAATTCTACTAACAGGAAACTAATGGCAGTATCACCATTCTGTAACTTAGCAGAGATGTAAGAACATTAAATGACCTTCATACACTAGGAGAGACCAAGAGAAATTCATAAATGAATACTGCTGACAAAATAAGAGAAAAGGCAGAAGAACATGGTTCTTTATATATAATTAATAACAAAAATACCTTGAGAGCATGCCTACCATCTTTCTTCCATAAGAAGGCAACTTTCACACCAGAAGAGGTTATTTTGGTTAATCAAATATTTCCCTTAATAAAATCACAATATATACTGCATATGAATCAACAATTTTTAAATACTCCATCTGTAAGATACTTTAAAACTATATTAAAAACAATTTAATTCAGAAAGCTCTTTAAAATCTTTCAGTCTCTGTATTTCTTCATTACGAATATATAGATATGTGACAATATTGAGAAGTTGGTACTGGTGGAATTATATTTTATCAATTCTAAAAAGCATACTTTGTCATGTATTAAGTTTCTGAAACTAGATACATCTTTCATAGTCGAAGGTACCTAGCCATTGCTATTGACCTGGATTAAAGTCCAGTTCTTCCAGGGAAGATGTGCATCTGCTTCTGCCGTCTTCTGGGAGCACCACCAACCTAAGATCAGTCTAAACTAAATCCTCTGCAAGCTTTTGTGGATCACACGGGTAGCATGACTTCAGACCTCAAACTTGGAGCTTGTGGTCCAAATTCTCAGGGGAGGTTTGTTTGTCCCCTCCCTACCCCACGCCAAGGCTGACACTTGCAGTTTCCTTGTCCTTTTTCTGCATCGCCAGGTTAATTTCTCATTTATCATTAGACTAACGGTATAGACCTGTGGTGTACCAGCTTTGTAGGGGAGGTCTCCTATGACTCCCTGACCTGAGTGTTTTTTCCTTCTTAGTGGTATATAACATAATGGCACTTCTTACCATCTACAATGTCCTAGATTCGATGAAATATGGTACCTTAAATAGGTTTCTATAGTTTCTATTCAGTAGACTCCAGAATTTTCAAATGCCAATGGCTTTTTTTCCACTTAGTACTTCCTCCTTAAGCCTATAGCTTTACATCCTAAAAACCTATAGCATGTTTCACTATATTTCTACAAAATACTAAATTACAGTGCTAAAGTGCAATGAATAAAGTAATACTAAAGTACAGCGAAAAAGCCAGAAAATAAAATGTTTAATTACAATTTATTTTTTCAGCCTAATTCCTAATACTTATCATGGTCTATAAATTTTTGGTTGAAAAAAAAGAATGTTAGCTTTTTCCCTCCAAGTATTTAAATCCTAAAACTTAGAAAGGCAAGTTAGCTTCTAGAGAAGACATCCATGACTTGACCCCAAGGACAGAAAAGTAACCTCTGAATTACTTAGGTATAATAATGGAATTCATTCTATTTAGATTTAAAATAGCAAAAAAAATACTCATCTTTCTAATAAATTATTACAAATTCTAATTTGGTTGTCTCATAAGCCCAAGTGAGCCTTCATTTTCCTTAATATTTCATTCAGTACCGAGCACAAAACTAAAAATAGATAGCTAAGAAATAAATAACCCTCTATCAAAAAAGCATATGATTTTTTCCCTTAAGTACCAAAATCCTGATAATTGATTTCCTTCCAAAAATCTGAACAATGTCCAATAGCAATACATTCAAAGGGAAAAAAATGCCAAGTACATTATAATGTGGGATTACTTACTAAAGGAATGATATGAGAAAAATGACCTTTAAACAATTCAATGATGTGTTTTAAAAGAATCCACAATCTGGACGAGCAGAAGTGAAAAGAACTCATTTCACTGGACCAGAGTTGACCTGCTATATTTAGCAAAAGCAAACTTTTGAGATGTTCTGGTTTCCTTTATAATCAACTTGCAGGAAAGGCTACCCATTGATAATAGCTAACATTCATTGAGCAGGTAACATCTCATTTAATAATTATAACCACTCTATGAAGTAATTTATCATTATTCTTTTCTTTTACAGATGAGGAAACTGAGGCTTAGAGATGTTATGAAACTTGTCCATGGTCACAGCTCCTAGGATAAGAGTGATAATATCAATCTATTATTAGTTGGTCAAGAGCAGCACTGGTTAGACATTTACCACTATCGCCTCAGATGCTGTGATTAGCCTCTGGGAAAACAAGATGGTCGAGGTCCAACAGAGGAAGACAGACATTGTTTCCTCTGTTTTATAAGACCTCTATGAACGGTGTAAAGAGGGCACAGAAAGAGAGTGATGGGTTGGTTGATCTCTGCAAATGAACTAATTTAATAGTCAATGCTTCTTTAAATAAGAACACCCAACATGTATTTCCTAGAAAATACACTTTCTTTTGAAAGTATTAATTTACTGTTTTTATTCATGAAAACTCATTAGAGTATGTTACATTGGTCTAATTTCAGAGTATATAAAACCCATACACATTCATAGCACACATTTATGTATATATATAACATACACACAAGATCTAGAGTGTAATATTGAATTATTGTTGTTTCAATGTGGTCTGGGCGAAAAGGTGTACTTTGAATACAAAATGTTTTTGACCTCCCACTTGATCTGAACTGTCTCCATCAGTGACAAAAATTATAGTTAGAATGAAAGGAATTTACTTTTCTCTGTGACTCTTCTAAAGTAGCAGAAGAGTGTTTTAAGCTTCTCTGGTTTCCTTGATGAACGTCCTTCAAACAATCTGAAAGAGACCAAAAATAAAGGAGGGTGAAGGATGATTTAAGATGCCTTAATGAGTCACAAAAAACTAAATCCATATAGTTACCAAGTAATGAAAGAAATAATTCTTCCAGAAGGCAATTCTGTAATGACAGAGAACCAGATCACTACTTGGACTCAAACGGCATCTGGAGAGGACTGAAACCAACTAGAACTAGGCTTCTCAAAAGTTGTTCAAGTCAGATGGTACTCTCGTACAACTGCGTTTCTCCAATCTATCTTCCTCCAGGGAGAAGGTACCATCTGGTCCCCAAAGTCAATTAGGGCAGTGAGTTAATGCTCGATCATTTTCCCAACGGCAAACACTATTTATAATTCATAATATTAGTAGGTAGTTAAATGATTGAACAAAAATGTTATCTGAAAAAAATCCACATGATTGTGTTGGGAGGGCAGCAACGAGGACAATGACTAGTGGGTATGACAAGATATTGGTGGACAGACCAATCCTTGGTAATTAAACAAATACACCCTTTGCATGGTAACCAAAACAGTGCCTACCCTATGACATCTAGTTCCCAGCAACCTGGACTTGCACTACTTAATTTAGTTTTCTTTGAAATGACGGGGCATTGTTATTGGTAACACATAATGCAATTTATCCTGAGGAAAGAAAAGCAGGGCTTTGGCAGCATATGACCTAAGTAAGTAGTTCACTAAAAGATTTCAAACACAAAAGCATGCTTTTGGGCACAAGATCTAGCTTTCCAAAGGCATTTAAAAATTATAGAGAAATTCTGTAGCTATAAATGATGAGGTATTATTCCTCTGCCTCTACTCTGGCTTTAAAACCAGAAACCCTTCAAGCAAAAATTCACTTTAATAAGTGCCAAAATGGGTAAAATTTTTCATGATTAGAAAAGCAAGCTTATATAACTATGCAGAGAGGAAAAAGTTAATTCCATGAGAAAATTCTATTGAGCAAGTGAAATGAATTAGGAAAAGGGAAGGAAATGCATATTTCAAATGATCCTGTTTTCAATGATCTGAAATTCTGTATTCAGGGCCAATTTCTGAGAAAACAATTTATAGGAATACTTATTTCCTGAAAAGAATACTAATGCCAGAAAGTATTTTAACCAAAGTTAAAAACTGATTCTTAAAAATAGTTTGAGTGCCTGTGTGATAACTTTTACTCAACTAAAAGAACTTATTTTTCTAAAATGTTTATTACAAATACTCTTAAAATCCAGCTGCCTGCCAAAAGAAAGGCTCTTTGAGAGCGCAGGTTTCAGTTTGGTTTCTTCCGCAATATGTCAACCAGAACAGAGTTTGTTTAAATCAAAATGACAGTAAAAATGAAGAAGTCACTGGGCAGTTTAATTAAACATCGTGTGGCAAATAAATATGATTTACTAAATGAATACCTTGGGATCCATTGCAAAATCCCCTTCTAGGTTTACTACTTAGTAGAGGACGCAGTATGAACATAAAGGCAGCCACCACCTATTCTTAGAGATGAACTGATGTACTATACAATTCAATTAAGGGAATAAAGCTCCTCTTCCGTAGAGCTGGTGCTTAGTGAGGAGAAAACGGCTGTCGCCCTTAAGAAATAATTCCCCCAAACATAAACATAGTCAGCGGTTTGAAAAATCACATAAAAGTTCACATACTTCATAACCATGATGACAAATTATTAACCTTAGGAGCCTCTTGGGATCACGTATATTACCCTAGTGATATGGACTTTCCTGGAAGATTAAATGGCTGTTGTTATCACCTACTACGAACAAATGAGCACCACTGTTTATTTTGCAGGTCCAAACCTAATAGGTACAAATCAAGCAGAATCCCAAAAGTATTCTGCTTATCCGTTGCTCCAAGCCTAGTTCCAAATCACTATGTAACCAAATATGCTTTCCCATCTTCCCATGGAGCAGGAAAGTGTGTGTATGGGGGTGGGGGGAGGAGGGTTGGGGGAGAGAAAGCTGGGGAAGCTGAAACAGGTTTAAAACCCTTGTGCTAATTCTTGACTTCCTTGTTGTGAAATTTTAAGTACTAACACCAAATAAGATGAATTATCCTGGTGTGAAAGCAAGTGAAAATAACATAAAGACCTAGGCAAACAGCATGAATGAAAGTCATTACAAGAGTGATGTACTATCTAAGGGACAGCATTGAGAGAGAGAGGAAGAAGACAGAAGGACTGAGGATGGAGCCTGAGAAAGGAAGAGACACAGAAAGACAGGGCAGGGAAGATAAAGAGAAGAGAAAGAGATTGACAGAAATCTGGCTGGAGACAGAGGGAGAGTATGAGACAGAAACTCACAGAGTGAAAGACACTCAGAGAGACAAACAGAGACAGAGAACCAAAGAGAATAACAATCACGCACCAACCAATTTTTTAACTTGTGAACATGAATTTTTTTTTAATTTAGATTTCCCAGTCCTGGGTTTTGAGTCAGCAGGCATGCATGTAAACATGCACACAACCTAGGCCATGATAACCCCTCTGCATGTAGGGAAGACATTTTGGCATGTAACTGAATGATAATTACCGATTACTAAAGAAAGCAAATAGAAAAAGTGAGTCAGGCAACCTCACTTTTGTTCTAAACAAAATTTTTTATTTTCAAGGGAATAAGTCCATCAAGGGTCAGATATTTATTAACTGGTGTTTTTCTCTCCATACATATAAAGAGAAACATAGTTTAATAAGATCTTTCCCTGAATGGAATATTGATAACATTACTGGAATTGGATTCTAGACACACACACACACACCCCCCCCATGTGATTTCAAGTTAAGAATTAATCCCATTAGTATACAGTAAATCAAACCCACAGCACTATAACCTCCACTTTAAAATGGAAGCAAATGATCATCCGGAACCCAGCCAGAAAGTCGTTCTTGGCTTTTCTGTGCAGCACTCTGCCATATGGCCCCAGCCGCATTTTCAATCCAGGGAAGAGGCAGATGTAAAAGCCTCTTGGGCTGACCACTGCTGCAACCCACAATTAATCTCTGACCATCAGTTTCTAAGCAATCTCAGAAGCATCAATGCTAATCATATTGGAAGCCTTTATATGAATGTTTAGGCCCAGAAAGGCAAGCAGGGGAAAAGGTCAGGGGTATTTAACATAACTAAGCAGGGCTGGAAGAACACAACAATAAATAAAAAAAGGAAGACTTATTCAATTTACTGACGTCAGCCTCCTACCACATACTCTTACCATTTTTCTTATTCAATCGACTAGACAGCCATAGCTCTTTTAAGACTAAATACACACACACATACAACTCCCAACTGCCAGAAACTAAAATCATAAATAGCAACTAGACAAAAAAGAAAACAGAACAACAACAGAATGCTCCATAATCAGCTTACCAAATGGCTCATCAAATTAGGTACTTGATCTTTCACAAGCCACACAAAAAAGGGGACCTGTTGGTTGTTTTCCATTTCTGGAGTGCTCTCGGAGCATTCTGCTCTTGAGAGAAAGTGAGACATAACGAAAGAGCACTGAGTTTGAACAGAAGACAGTGTTCAAGTCCCAGTTCTGCTGACAAGTCATTTACTCTCACTGAACCTATTAGTACAGAACCTTCCCTAGCTAGAAACTTCCATTCACAGAAATCAAGATGAGCCGTCAACAGCCAGCATCACTGACCACATATAGTCATCGTTGCTGTTGTTTGCTAGTGTAGGCTTATGAACATACAAACGATCTCAGTGAGGAAAGTGCAGACATCCTGGCTTCTGAGATTCCCTAAATCAACTGTGGAGACTACCACAGGCTCTACCTGCCTTAATTAATTCCCAGTGTTCTGGTGACCAAAAGAACATCCATCAGCCAGGAAGATAAGAGTATGCCTCATTTAAAATCTTCAACAGACCTACTTAAACTCTTATTTGGTGAAAATGCTATTGGGATACCGAGAGCTTACATCGCTCACGGTCATCCCTCATGGTCACTCTGGGCTGATGAATGGCTTTGGTTCGTTTTCCAAATCAAGAATTATTTCTAAGGTGGGGCCAGCCCAGTGGTGCAGCGGTTAAGTTTGCATGTTCTGCTTCAGCAGTCCAGGGTTCTCCCGCTCGGATCCCGGGTGAGGACCCACGCACTGCTTGTCAAGCCATGCTGTCTGTGGCGGGCATCCCACATATAAAGTAGAAGAAGATGGGCACAGATGTTAGCTCAGGGCCAGTCTTCCTCAGCAAAAAGAGGAGGATTGGCAGCAGATGTTAGCTCAGGGCTAATCTTCCTCAAAAAAAAAAAAAAAAAGAAAAGAATTTCTAAGGATAGTTCGAATTTCTGACTAGCTACACAGTAAGTAGTATTAATCCAGTTCATTCAAAGGGAGGGGTGCATGGCAGAAGGGGTAAGAGATACAGCTTCTAGAGGCCGACAATATACTGAGTTTGAATCCCAATTATACCAGTTAACTTGGTGAAGTAATCTACCCTCTATAAACCTCCACCTCCTCATCTGAAACATGAGAAAAACACGAATACCTAATTTGTGAGATTGGTGTGAGGATTAAGTAAAAAACAATAGCACAGTGGCTGTTACATGGCAAGTACCTAATAAATATTAGCTATTGTTACTGAGAGATATTCTTATGCAAAAAAAATTTCAGATAATGCTGAGTAAGCAAAGGTCCTTGGGCTGGAATAAGGCATTACTTAATGCCCAGCAAAAAAATCAACACTCATTTACATAAAATGTTTACATTGTTCTAATCCATAGTCCCTTCATTAAGAAAAATGGCTCAGCCTCACTTCCCATCAAGCCTAACATGCTGACACTCAGAGCCAACCAGCTCAGTCTTCAGGATAAACGACCATGAACAATGAAAAAGATAAAGGTGCCATTGACAAGAAGTCTGAGCATTCCCCTGTCAGAAGTTTAACTGAAAAACAAAGATGCTTTAAAATTAAAACATATATTAAAATTAATATAAATTCTGATAAATGGTGGCAGGAAATGAGAAGTCATGGAAGCCAAGGCTTCCCA